ACATATACATACACACACACATACACTTACACATGCACATTCACATACAAATGGATGCATATACTGTTATACATAGACACCCATGCACACATGTGTGTGTATGTATATGTATGTATGTATGTATGTGTCTGTATGTATGTATGTATGTATGTATGTATATATATATATATTTTATTTATGCATATATAAATATATGGATACCTACACAGATAGACATGCGTATCTATACTCTGCACATCTGCCCGCTTTGATGTGCCACGGGACTGGAGGGTGGCTCGATGGAGACGTAAATGCCGACTTCAATCCTAAGTCAGACAGGGTTGAGCTGGCTGTTGCAGAAGCTGGCATGGGCCATCGTGAGCTTGATATCATAAGACAGAAGCCTCAAGGAATCCTCACCTTCGCCTAGAAAACAACTTCTCCCTAACGGGCCCTAACGCCATCCGCAACTACAGACCACGTGCACGCTTGCAGGCGGGCAGGGACACTCCCGTGTGAACACGAGCACACAGACAGAATTTGTAAAAAAACATGTAGAATCATGCATATACCTGTGTACATTGTACATGACACAGGCCGGCCTGAGCCCCTGACTGCGGACGAGACGTGCCTCCCCAAAGCGTCTCCTGGACAAAGCTATTGCAAATAGCCCGGCCCTGCAGGCCGAAAACACAGACATGTCCAGGAGTCCCAGCAGAAGATACGACGAAATGCGACCACTCCGACTGGCTCTGACCAGTTTGGGCATGCTGGCAGAAATCAACCTAAGATTCGAGAGCTGGGGTTCTGCAGATTTCCTGCCTTCAAGCGGTGCCAGCGGTTGGGGATCAGGGCGAGAACCTCGAGCCGGCTGCTGCCCACCTCTGAAGCCGACGAGGCCGTAGGGCCTTGGGTGAGCTTAGAAGACACGAGACTCAGAGGGGGGCAAAGTCAGTCCCTGACTGGAGGCCAACACTTGGACTTCAAGAGCCGACCTCCAGGAGAAGACCTGGCTTTTGCGTCCCGCCTACTGTACCAGTCTCGACTGGAGATGGAGCCCGCCTCGAAGGTGAAGTGGCTCGAGGCAGGCCAGACAGACTTCCCATGGCTCACAAGCCCGCCCTCTGTCCTGCAACGATTCGTGACAGGACAGCGCGCCGTCAGCACTTAACCCATCATGAAGCTTCGCCAGTCCTCCACACCTGGGAGTCCAGCGATGCGACCAATGTCACACGAGTTCCATTCAGTGACTCCTGCAAGGTTCCAGGGCACTCTGTAGGAGCTACAGCCTGCAGAAGCCGGCCTGGCTGGCAAGGAGAGCTTGAGGCGCGACCCTTATATACTTGCAACATATCGGGTGCGTCTCTCCAGCAAAATAAAGCATCTGGTCATGGTCTCCGTAACTTACTTGTTTCTTGGTTGTGTGGAACCCATACAGAAGAGCACCAAGGTCTGGGTGGCAGGCTCTATCTTCGCAAGCGGTGTAGCGGCACTTTCCTCGTCGAGAGTGTCTGCCTCAAGGTGAAGGCTCCCCATCTTCAAGGATGACGAACTTGTGACAGTGAAGATCTGTTCTAGGTTAACATATATATATATACACACACACACGCGCAACAATACATGTATGGTTGTTGTTTCCATCCTTTACGTCCTGGTTGTATGCTATAGGAAGAAGCGTTTCCTCGCACATGCACCTGCCTCCTGCCCGACGCCATCATCAGGCGCGCGCCTGGCCATGTTCCACCGACGGCTCCACGCGGTTGCCAGAAAAAACAGACGTATGTGCAGGAACCCGACAAGGGCACGGCTAAACACTTGCAAACACTTAGGAAGTTGAGCTCCGCCTCCGGGTGTCCCAGAGTGCGATGTGAAACCACCGGAGCAGGACATCCTGCGGATTCGGATCCGGGTTGGTGCTCAACTGAGCAAGAGTCGTGAACTCAGGTACATGGAGCATTCTCGTCGACAGCATGGAATCAGACTCCCGACTTGAGTCTCTTAAAACTTTCTTTCGCACGAAATTCACAGGTCGCAGCGAGTGTCCCGCAGCAGGCTCTCGTCAAGGCAAGAGCCGAGGAGCCGTTTCAGCTTGCAAAGAGCCCCAGGCCTGAGTGTTGAAGTATTGAGGTTTCATATGTTGAGGTTTGGTCCTTGGTTTTGAAACATTCATGCCCGGCCTTTGCAATACCAACTTGCCGAGCTTCCTTCTTGGGCTATCTCTGCAAAGGCCAACTGTGGCTCAGTGCTGTGCCATTGGTCCGCGCTGACCGCCCGAAGCCTGATCAAGCCCACTTCCGTGCGCTTCCGCTCCAATACGGCCTGGGAGCTTTGGGGTTGAGAGTGCTCGGGCTTCAGGGTTTAAGAGATGCACGAGAGTCTCACGAGACACTTCACCTGTTATATCAATAAGGATCTTGTCACCTCTTTGCTCGGATAGGTTGTGTGTGCTGATATTCCAGACCCCAGAAGCTCCAAGCGCCTTCAGCTGTTGCAAGGGCTCGTCGACCGTCGGTTCGGCCTTGCCGCGCAGGAGATCCTTGGCAATCGGATCGTGCCAGCTAAGAAGAAGCTGTGATGCAATTTCAACGCTGGTCTAGATTGGACGCCTGCCCCCCTTATCATCCCTGAGCCCCGAACCTGCTCATGAAATCCACGCTTCCTGACCGTTTTCTGGGGATCCCACCCGGCGGGCCCGTCGCCAACGTTGCGCCTCGTCCTCCGCATGCCGGGCGGCTGCAGAAGCCTGGAGAGACCAAAGGCTGATCAGCTCTCATCTTGTCACCTCTCCATTGCCACCTACCCTGTGTATACATACATATCTGTATGTATATACATACATATATGTAGACATATACCTGTACAAACAAATAAACAAATACTATTATATGTGCATGCATGCATGGATGCATTTATGCATGGATATGTCTACTGATATTCATGTGTATAACATGAACCCAAGCTTGCCACGGTGTCCACGTCTCGCGCTGGCTGTTCAGTTTGTAACGCCCGGCAAGCCTGCTGAAGCTCTTGGCGGAGCTCTTCGCCTGGACCCAAAATACCGGAGCAGCCATGCTCTATGACGCTTCTCTGGACCGTCGGACAGTCCCCAGGGGTGTTCAGGAGCCTTCAACACTCTGATGTTGGGCGAAGTTTCTTGCAGGCGACTTTTTGACTACACAGCGGTTGCGCAGCTGACCGCCTCTATGGCGCCACTGTGAGGCGACCTGTGACTTAAACAGTTTGGATGTACAGCGAGCGCACCGAATGTGCCAGAAGGCAGCTTGAGCAAGCGCGAAGCCGCGCAGGGGAGTTTCTGAAAGAAGGTCCGGATATAGAGTCCTTCTCTTCTGACTGTAAGTTTTGGCTTCGGGGCTCCACTGGATTTGCCCTTATAACTCATAACAACTTCTGGAAAGGATCCTCATCGCTTGGGCCACCTCTCAGTTCCAGAACGCCTCCCCCCCAAAAAATTGTATCGTCTCCCCGGCAGGGGGTCGAAACAGTTTTCCAGCTGTGACATGAAGTTTAGCATCGCCTTACCATGCACCATAAACCGGTTCAGAATATGCTACAGATCGATGTTGTCAGGCTTTCAAACCTCTACGAACCAATGGACCATATGTAGTTATGGCTGGCAGACATTGAAGTCCCTTGGACAGCGCTCCATGCTTTGTGGCGTGAAGCCGAGGTTAAGGAGGGATGAGCTGCGCCCTGGAGGCCCAAGGGCTTCCGTTCCGCGACCCAGGTGACAGAGGCGGACCTGAGCAAAGATGCGGCTTTCTGCAGGTACTCCAGTACTCCAGATCGAGTCTAAATTCTCACACTCGAAGTTGTGTAAGTGACAGCTACAAGCTGCAAGAATGCAAGAAACGTGACTTTCGTTGCAACCTCTCTTCCTGCAGATTGCGTTGCTTCGTACAGCTAAGCAGCTTTCGAAGGACTACTTGGATGAAGGGGGTTGCAGCGGTTACGGTTTGAGCATGGCCCCAGAGTTAATTACTACACATGGTCTTCGGATACCTGGCTACAGGAGCCTCCCGAGTTGCCATCTGCCAGGTTGATGTTGAACTTGTTCTGGCTTCCATTGTCGCCTGTTGCGGCAGCATGGCGCTGGAACCGCCCACAATGTGCATAATGTAGTTTAGACTCTGCAGGTGCCTGTGTTGTGGATGATGTGCTTTTGAAAACCGGCCGTCGGCCCGACATAGTGCGGCCTTGGAGAGACAGCCGTGGTCACAGCCAGCGACTGCAACGAGGCCATGCTCATACGCCATACGAGATGTCTACGACTGCAAACTTCTGACACTGTCCGCCTCAGCTCCCCTCCCATCACTTCCGCAGCACGGCACTGAGGCACGCGCACGTGGAGTCTCAAAAAACCTTGGGCAGCAGGCCCCTACTCTTCTCTAATCACATCAACCATGCACGACTGCCACGGCTCATCTCCGGCAACAAATGAACTTACTGACTTTGCAACTGCCTGTGCGCCCGCAAAGCTGTACTGTCTCATAAATGGTGGATCTTCTTCAGCCAGCCGAACTCGGAAAGGACCGCAAAAAACTATCCTTAACCGAGGCACAATTATCGTCACAGGCGCCCTTGCTTCGATCTGCCTGACTGCATGAGTCAAGCCAGTTGGTTGGCAATGCATACAGGAAACTATTTTCCCACAGCGAAAACTCTCTGTGTGTGTGTGTGCGCTTCTGTGCCTGTTCTTGCGTGCATCTGCATAGGAGCTTCAGCAAAGGCGAATTGGTGGGCTGCACGCTCCGGTCTGCCTCATCCGCCGTGGCAGCCGCGACTTTTACATGCTCGGCCTCCCCACCTCAGCTCTAGCGAGAGTGCGCAAAAGCCCTCACACTCCAGGTGAAGTCCATGACAACGGAAGATGCCAAGCTGCCGTCGCGGCCCATGCCTCGGCTAGACTCCCCTGGAGCAGCTAGAAACTCGGTGACCGTGTCGGCACGCCTCTCTGTGAGAACTCCTTCTGGAGCCGCACCCGAGTCCCCAAGCTTTGTGCAGGCAGGTCTCGCCCCATTCCGATGGACATCTGTGGCACGCCCTTCTGAAGGAGTTGCAAGTTCGGTTGGGAGACGATTCCTCGGAGCCAAACTAAAGCACCAACACCCGGGTACCCAAAGTCGACGCTCTTTCGGCCACGAGGCGCTTCATCATCCCTCCGTCCGGCTTGAAGGCCGGGGTCGCCGCCTTGCCAGGGTCTGTTTCGGAGACCAGAACTCGCACAGAAAAAAAAAAAACACGCCTCTGGGGGCTCGGATGGGTGAAGGGATCCTAGCGGCCTGAACTGGGGTACTGGGGCTTTTTCGACTTAAGGCCCCCCCCCCGGCCTTGTGAGCTCTCTCGCTGGTGAAGGGACTTCGCGAGCTGAGGCTCTTGGAGTCCGCCGGCGTGCGAACTAACCTGCGAGCCGGGCTACAATATAATATAGCATAGTAGAATAGAGTATAATATAATACGTATAATATGATGTAATGTCTACTGGAGCAGGGTTGTTTTCTGGTTGTTCTTGCCTCCTACTTCGCAAGGACGAGCCCGCGTGGCAGGGTTGGCAAGTCGGCGAGAACTGCAAAGTTCATCTGTTTCGGGAGTAAAGTCCTAAGACCTTTCATCAGTACATGGACATCCAAAGACTTCCAGCACAGTGCCGTCTTAGCACAAAGACGCATAGGCGCTTTTGCGCACTCAGACTTCTGTCGAACAATCTCGGCGCAACACAGCGGAGTCGTTGCAGCGTGCCACCGGTCCTTTTGACTAAGTTTTAACACAAACGAAGCCATGACAGTCCTTGAAAGATTTTAAATCTCCAGGGTTTAGGAGTTTCGACTCTCACACGCGCACCAGGCAGGCAAGGCTCCACACAGTTCCGTCATGCTAGGGAAGCCCGAGCACTTACCGCATCAAACCTGAACCATCTAAACCATGACCAACCCTGGGTCCCGGCTCAGGGCTTCAGTTGCCAGTGAAGGCGTTGCTTCACTCGACTCCTTTAAACTACGCAAGCCATCGCAAGCCCATCGACCGCATTGTCGTCGGCGTTGCCGGGCTCAGTTCCACGAAAATGTGCATCTGTGCTTGAAACTAGGGTGCGCTTCATGCACAGCGTAGGACAGGCTTTGCAACGTCTGCCTTCATTTCTGTCTGGAACTTACGCAAGTGAAGCTTTGGAATAGACATGCATGAAGCACAAAGGCTAACGAGTGCTTCTTGTGAAGCGCGAATGCTGGGCGGGTGCCAGCAGTGTGGTGCCGTGCGAGATTCTCGCAAGTGCTGACGACTCGGCTGTATCTCGCGCGGCACAAAGTCAGAACTATCTACACAAAGCAAGCCTGCCGTCCCGGAAGATGCTGAATGCTTCCATGGAGTATCCTTTCCCCCGTATCAGAACATCCGTTAGCCGTGTCTAGCTTGCGGTGTACGTGCAACATCTGAGTCTGGCTGGCGGCACGGGACATCCAGCAGGGACAGCAAGGAACAATGAAATCACAGCTCAATAAGGGCTGTTACTTCCACCAATTGGTCTCGACCGGTGGCTCCGAACACGTGAAAAATTGCGTCATCAGCATCAGGTAGCTCGACGATGCACTTGCTCTCGGTGAAATGGGAACTTGCGATGCGCATCTCCTCGTTTGAAACTGAGAACCCAAACCGGCATGGCAAACAGCCCTGGTCTTTGGGC